GCGCCTGATTATCAGCCCATAGTTCGAAATCCAGCATTATTGATAGTAAGGCAACTGGTGAATTCGGACCATTTCAGTGAACTCAGATAGTCGTTCACTGTCCTGTGAAGCAATCGAATATCCCGCATTCTAGCATTCTTGGCAGAAAATCAATTAACTCAGATTTCTCCCCATAAGTGGGGTGAATCGATGCTGAAAAAAACCTCGTACTGAGTACCAGTTTTTTACTTATTGTGGAAAATCAGCAATGCCCATCTCTTGTATATTCAGAAAATTTTGTACCCGCAAACTCGGGGCATATAGTTTGGACACTTAAACGTTCACTGATGGGCTACGGGCGGCTGAAATGTCGGGTAGTTGTTCCACCTGCTAACCTGGATGTCACTTGTTCGAGGTGACCCGGTGACTCAAGAGATGCGCACTCGTCACTAATCCCAATAAGCAGAAAACGGCTTCTAGCGTCGTCATCATGGATTACCTTCACTTATAGGACGAAATCTTCAGTAAAAATTTTCATTTTTTTTCGCGCCCTCAGTGCTAGCAGACGGTAATGTATTCTAGAGTCTTGTTCCTGCTCGACGTAATCACCTTAGAGAACGGTTTTTTGGGTTGGAAAATATCAGTGAGAAGCGCGTATTCAAACTTTCTTGTTCATGCACCATTTTAAAAAAGAAGGGAACTGCTCAACTGTTGCTTCATATCTAATTGTATGAATTCAAAACAGGGAATTACTTTCCAACCAATGTAAGGATTAAAGCACTATCAATGGAAATAGGGTTGTTGACTTGAGCCGTCTCTGTTTCCTGTTCTGTTGACATTCAGTCTTGAATTTGTTCTTGCAATCTTTGTGTCTGCCATGAATCCACCCCCGAAATGTTGTGTGTACGAGAGAGACCACTAATCCTACTTACCTGTAGACTGATAGTAATCATTTCTGACGTGTTAATTCTATACACGCTGATACGAATTTCTTGTCCGTCAGTGGCGGCTAAAGAGACATGGACCCAGAAATTAACGACCCATGACTTACATCTCCCAAATTTTGCTGCCTCTATCAAACTGAGGCAAACTAGCATCATTCCTGTGGGGAGTTGGCTGCAAGTATGTGGGTCTAAAAGGGAAAACCCAAGCTTTGGCATTCGTTGGACAACTCAGATCAACAGATTTACAGCTTCATGGAGATCTACCTTGATAAAATGGAAATATGCACCTTTGGTTCATTAATTTGCGTGCCTAGACACTTTTTTGATAAGTACGAGATGAAAGCATAGTTTGTGGACTTTAACGTTAAATTATAGAGGCCAGATAAAACCTTTTGTGAAAATTAAATCAATTCAAAACTGGCTTAAAAATATCATACCTGACTATCATCTCAGTATCCCTCCGAACGACTGATCGGAGGTTGCTGAAAAAAATGCCTGTCGGGATCATTGGACCTTACTAAAAGTGATAAACAGTTCCAAGTAGTTCGTCTTGACAAATCCAAGACATGGTTGATCGAGTTGATGATTGTTGAGCACATCTACCGGATAGGATGCATGCCTACGTGTTTATCAAGGTTCTGAACACTACACGAGGAGGCAGTCACACACAGTCCCGCACTCACTCGCTTGTTCGGAATATGGCTGTTGTGTTCCATTCTGTGGGTCTTTTTCCCGGCACTAAGGTCAGCATCCAGATACCGCAAATTGGCGAATCAACAGATATAACAGAGTGAAGAACACTACTCAGATAAACTCAGCCTTGGGATGGACAATACCAGCCAACACTTTATCAGCCTTGGTGTACTTGAATGAGGAAACTGCATCCCAGTTTTTGTTGTTGTCAGCATGTTTATGTTTGTGCTAGTTACTCTGTCACACCAAACCGTATAAAACCAGTTTAACGACAAACGTATTCCATCGCAATGCTAGGTGTGGTTTGCTTTTAACCCCCAATCAGTTTAAACAAAACAAACACACAAACATCTGGGTTTTGGCAGCCGTTAGTTGCGAGCTATGCATCTGTCAAACCTGCGATTCTGTTGGGTAATATCATGTCCCGCACAGACCATTTGAGTCATTTCAATCACGCCATACCTGTAATTTTGCGTTTTGAGTTTCAATGCCTCAACGGGGACAGAAGATATTTGGTGAGATGCCACTGTTTCTTTCAAAATACTTACTCAAAATAAAGTAAATACGCAAGCAATATATATATCAAGTACGTCCAGCTAAAGCTGATTTTGCGTGATTAGAACAATGGTGGCTGAATGTAAAGACTCAGTTCAAACTTGGCCGGGGAACTTTGATCGATTCCGGTCGCGCAATAACATTTGGAGCAAAGACAGCGAGCAGATTTGCCCAATAACGAATGGCGTAGTTCCGCGGGATGCACTCCGACAAACTACCTCTGTCCATCCAGTGGACAACTCCTGAAGTGTTCTATGCAAGCACCAATTCCGCAGAACTTTCCTTTCCTCTTACAGCTTGATCCAAATCGGGCTTCGTATTACATAGTCATCGGTCAAGCCTCAACTTCAAAAATAGATAGACATCTTTCGTTTGCGCCATAGGTGTTTTAGGTACGGTCTCATCGGGGCTTCCGGAGTGTCTAGTGCAGGAACAGTTCCTTCTCTTTTGAATGTTCCGAGCCACAAATCCGCCCTGCCTTATATAACTTGCTACATTGCTATGAAACATGATACTTTCTAGGAACCCATCTTACCTGCCTGTTCTTAAACATTACTAAAAGGCGTGAACAGTTTCATGACCGGTATCCACAAGAGACATGCAGAGCTAAAGTTATCATAACAACTACATCATTAATTATATTAATATCATATTGTTTATTATAGCAATTACGGTTATTGGTTCGTCAGGATAGAAGTCATTCGCAAGTCAATCAAAATTCCATGCATACCAAAGATGTATCCTAGAAAAGCTCAAACGGCCGACCTACATTGACACACTCAGTCAAAATTAAGTCACGTCAGATTGGGTGTCTCCTGAAGGTCACACTAATAAGAATCAAGTGATCATTCGTGGTTGACTACTCCTCAGAGCTATAGGCTGTCTCTAAGGCGAATTAATCATGAGAAAAATGTGCAGAGGGCTCCAAGCTATTTTCAGCCACGGGAAAGTCAGTAAATCACGCCAAATGGTAAAAATCTCTCACTGAGAACCTCATATATTCACTGTAAATGATCCAGTAGTTGCGGTATCTGCCTGAGCTGTTTTGTTTTCTGCTCACAAATCCTCACTTTTCCACTACATTTGGCCACATCCGTTCGACTTGTCACTAAGCAATCATAATTGCACTGAGATACTGACGTGGTCCCAACAGAATGTAGCTGTAAATAACCACTTGTTCACTCTTCTAAACTTTCTTATATGAGTATCTCCGGTGGGACCATTGATTACAGCAGACTGATTCTGGTCGCAGTTTCGCTCTGAAGAGGTCGATGGCTGTGAAAAACGTCATACCAGAATAAACTATACATTTTCGGCACCAGAATGTACCATAGTTGTGTCAACTCTTCCTCAGTGGAAAGCCAAAAACTCAGATGGTCGTAGTGTCTGCGGCTGTTTGTGGGAGTGAACTACGAACTTGTTCACAGCTTACTGTGACTACTCTGGTGTGAATATTTCTCAGGAAGGAGCTACCATTTGGAGGAAGTTATTGTATTCTCTGCAATACTACTTGTTCGTCACACTTTGAAGGGAACCTCATTGGGATTACTATCAAACGTTGGGAGGCAATTCATTCTGAGGCTGTCTTGTTTTCTCTGCGCTGTTATTATACAGCCTCACTGTTTTAGAATAGTGCTAACCAACTGCTCAAAGTTAATCTATTAGTGACATATTTGCTTAGCTGAAAAAACCTCTATACAGTTTACTGTTTAAATAACCGTGGATTACCACATTTACTGGACTTGAGGATATTCTAGGACCCCAATAAATTGTTTACTATTATATGACATATTCGCGAACAAGACGCGAATTTTTCGTCACTCGCTCGCAGTGGACATACTCTTCGCTTGCTTGTGCGCACATCAGGCAGGACAAATCCCCTTCCTTTCTCCTAATAGATTTAGCCTGTAAACAAGTCTGACCACCATCACTAACCTGTCCGTACCACGCTCATGCCCTTGGATCTCAAAAGGTGTAACATGCCCTGCGCACTACTCACAAACAGAGCAGCCCCAGTAACTAACACAGTACGGTCACTCCCTCATCCAGTATTTCCTATTCTGTATGCCTTGGAGCAGAACCAGACTAGAAGCACGTGACCTACCGATAAGCCACGTGCACCTGAATGCGCAATCTACAGTTTCACCTCGTAGTCCATTTGCATGTCTGCATGAAATTTGAAGATGAACAATTTTTGGGCAAATTTATTCGCATTCAGAAAATGTGCTGTAGCACGAATGAACCAGATTACTTGCAAAGTAACTTTGGGGAACCTAACTTAACCGATTTCCGGAAAAACAGCTGGTGCATTGGGTCGAAACGGAATTGATAAATATTGATGAGCTAAGGAATAACCTATCTACAGTAGAAACAATGAAAACAGTACATGCAGTTGGACTGGGGACTTCTGGCGCCAATGCGCTGCTTCTAGTTTGTTCAGATATTTCAATTCAAGGCCTCTTGGGTCATGGCAAGGAACGAGAACAATACTGAGGCATACTGGACACACTGCTACAGCCTCAGAAACATGTGATTTGCCTCGATCAATAAGCCGAAAGCCAATCATGTTGACAGAGCGAGGTCAGCCAATGAGAGGACGCTTACGTGACTGGTTCAACAGAAGGAGCCAAACATGAAGTGAAAGGAAACCCGTCTTTTCATTGATCACCACTCACATGGTAGCTCAAGGCAGATCATGTGTAAGATTCTACATTGTGACAGAAATGCGAAACTAGTTATGTAGTTAGTTAGTTGTTTTGGAAAGCAACTAGGAAATCGATCAAGAATTTGAAATAAATTGCATCCTCTCTTATTTTTATCTGTTACCAGCCAAAGAAGAAAACAAAAGAAGTCGAAGAAGAAAGCATAAGGAAAAACGCTCGGCAAGTGCAAGGTCCAGTGAACCCAGCGGCAGTCATGACTCGAAACACAGAGGTCGTAAGAAACAAATTTCTCCGAATAGGCAGCATTCGTCCGAGGTCAAAAAAACTGTCCCAAATAGGGCTACGATGGACTATGTGGTAAGTTTTCGTGAGATTTCCGAAATCGTTTCCAAGCTCAATTGAAATGAGGAACCGAAATTCAGTTGAAATGCGTTTGAAAGCCGATTATTTGATTGTAACAATAGGATAAGGTTGATGCTAGCGTGAGGAACCGATAATCTCGGCGTTTTTTTAAGCTAGTATCATTCAGTACCTTAGTGGTCAATGTGGATTAGGGAAGAAGCATATTCGTCACTGTTGGAGATTAGTTGTGATATTTACCGGGTTATATCAATATATAATGAAGAGGTCAATGAACTGGTGTCTTAGCTTTTGCTCCAAAAATGGGTGCTTGTAGAATTCTGCAACACCAAGGGGCGCGACAGAAATCTGATAATGTCTACATTCCAACATATCAGCCAAATGGGTTTCCGTTTAAATTTCATATAATTACGTCATTATTGGGTTCCATATTTGTTCACAGGTTTGTGTTGTAGACTGGTTTCACCTTCATACGATTCTAAAGTTTCAAGTCCTCAGATTAATTTTGATCTTATTTCGATCCGCCCATGCCACTTTGTACTTCTTATTTATCAGTTTCGCAACCCTACGCCAAATTCCAATAATCAGTTTGATATCAAAATCACCTGATCTCAAGGCAACTCACAATACATTTGATCAAATCAAATGCTGGAGAAAAGCCACGTGATCTTTTAGTGCTTTATTTCGTCAATGCCTTTGGTTCACGTGGGAACATTGAGGGAGGTTATCAGTCGAAATATTTCCCAGTCTGTTCATGTGAAACGAATGAATCTGAATAGTTTTGGGAGTTACCGTGTTTATGATATCGAACTGATGTTTAAATGTTTTTTGTTCTGTTTTTTCTCAACAATGTTTGACTGCTATCAGTCGAAAAGTTATTGATTTTAGATTGAGAATAAGGCCCTAGCGTTTCTGCCAACAGAAGGGCAGAGATTTTGAATGGATATAACAGAATGAGCTCATAAAAACCGCTAGTCTGGTGTTCCAGACTGTGTTGCAGTGGGTGATGTAGAGTCAGAGCGATTCAACCACCCAGCCACCCAAGCGGTTACCCAACATGAGAGCTTTTTGGCTTTGTTAGAAATGACAGTTGATACAAATGTCTGTCAACCAACCGAAATTACTCGACAATGACCGTAAGAATGTGGAAGAAACTTATTTTTCGTGATGCCTGGTCATAGTATGAAAAAATGACAATTCCAAAATCATATTGTAGTGTCACTGTGAGCAGTATGTTGAAAAAGTTGGTGTAAGCCAATGGTTAATTTACGTTTTAGATAGATGGAACAGTATTCGAGAGGTTCCTGGAAAGACACAGTAGATGATATCATAGAGAAATTTTAGGAATAATAACAGCGCCTCCCGACTAGTTTTAGCTACACTTTGGTTTTCTTCAGTATCGGATGTATTTCCAGTTGTGGGTGACTAAATTTTGAATTAAAAACTACTGAGTTTTGAGAAGTCTGATCATGAAGCGCAGTGCGACCTGATGATATCTGTTTATCATATCGCTATTTGAATAAAAAACAAAAATTAACTGAACCACAATCGGGACCTGTGCCAGATACCCGAATGAACCACCATAGAAGCATTGATTTGACCTGATGACCTCTTGGTACTTGGGTGTTTTCCTGTCAAACCAATCCTTCTACTGCTGTTCTTGAGAATACAGGGCAGTTAGCCAGGCAGGCTATGGAATTTCGCTTCGTGTTTAACGTCCGCTGAGACAGTCCTGTCAGTAAAGTTTGGCAGTTGTAATTCGAACCATGTAGTTTTGAATGGTCTTTGAGAACCCTCTGAGGGCCATAGCAGCAATGTCTTCCAGATTAACCACGTTCTTATTTTTTTGATTTCGTAGATATATTGTCCCAACCACTGCGCTAAATTTTTGCGTGAATCTCTTGACTTAGCATTTTTGGGTTGGTTGTGGGTTGAGCTGTTGGTTTTCATGCACGGATTCAGGTCTTGTAGCCTATTCCACCATGATGTACCGGTTAGTCATTACGTTGCCGGAAGTATTCATAATTTGTTTACACTCTTCAGTGTCTCAAAGCCTATGGCTCCCTCCCATCTTGAGAAACAACACAGAGCGCTTCCTGCGAATTCGGATACAATCCCTTTCGCTCGATCAGTCTCAAAACCATCCAGCTGATGTTTAAGGCATTTTTTATCGGCCAGTAGTTGACCTCTCCTCAGCTTTGTCTTTGATTAACTATCTGCATTCTTCAGCTTGGTTCCGCTGAAAGCAACACATGACAAGTAAATTTTGTACCGTTGGTTATCTACTTGAGTCTCGGTGTGGGTTTCTGTGACAGCAATGGCTGACATGCTTTGGGTGCCCGAGTGACTCCACTAGGGGACCGAGTGCTTTAGTTTTTGATTTGTCCAAAGACAGACCAGACAAAACATAGGCCATACCATATTAACGAAGGGTTGCAGTAAGCCTCCAGGTTCCAATATGTCGCACAATTGAATTCCTTGCTGCAGAGTCTATTTTTAGCATCTTAGTGTCACTACTGCTCTAGTGAGCGCCTGATGCATCAGGAAGAACGACTTAATTGTTTACAACAACAAAGTTCCGCAAAGCTCAACCATCTAATACAACAAAAATTTCCTTCTTCCAAAGTGATTTCTAATGTTTCACCGTCGAATTTCAATCCAGAATGCAGCTTTCAGTGTTTTCAAGGTATTTCTTGATCATGTGACTTTTTGCATTCAACCATGGCACATTCCTGTGTGACTATTCATGGAAACCCAGAAGACATTTGTGAGAGATCACTAAGAAAAAGGACGACTAGAATATTGTGGTGCACTGTCGTCCCTATTGAGGTGGCTTTGAGAGGCGAAGTTAAAATTTTTTCAGTGTCTGTGTGACGTAGTCGATGTTGGCTACCAACACACCCAATCAAACTCCCAGCTGCATCCAGGACCAGCTGGTTGGAACATCAGCTCATTCAGGCAGCCATGCTACCGACTGCAACGGATCGATGAACTACACGGAAGTTCGCGAATATACACTCATTTGCAAACTAATTTGGTTTTTTCGAGAGACTCACCTGGAACTCAGCTGAATCTCTCATTTGTGATGTTTTCAGACAACTGGATGTGCTGCACCAGGCCACCTCATGTTTCATTCACTACGATATTCGAGATATGGTGATACATGTATATCTATGTAATGTACTACTCATAGGGTTGCTGAAACTCCATCGACAACTCACGACCGGTTTTGCCCTTCTTGGGGCTCATCAGGTAGGCACAGTCCCCGGGTTTCCATCAACCTTATGTTCTACTTGGAACCAAATTGCACGAAATTAGCGAATATACACTCACTTGCAACCTAATTTGGTCTTTCGAGAGACTCACCTGGAACCCAGCTGAATCTCTCGTTTATGATGTTCTCAGGCAACTGAATGTGCTGCACCAGGCCGCCTCATGTTTCAGTCGGCACCATACCGATATATTTTGGCATGATACCCTTGTTTTCGAGTGAAGAGAAATTTAGCACACCGAACAGTCGCGGCAAATTTTCAGCAACCTTATGAGTAGCACATTACAAAGATATACACAGAGGTTCATTAACCGAATTTCGGAATTTTTTATATTTTGTTCGCTCAACTTTTCGGTGCTTTGTTGTAGGAGTAAGTGTTGGATACTAAACTCTATCTACCCTGGATCGATTGCTCAGTAACGTTGAAAATCCAGGCAATTTAAAATACTCATGCACTACTAAGCTTGTTGACTTTCTGTCACCGCCGTTACTCGTTCTTTTTTTCTACAAAACACAGTGGTACAGAGACCTAAAAGAGTTGATGCATTGAATGAGAGCACGCGAACCGTGGGAAACAACAGCCTTGGTTGCGAACATTTGAGGAAAACCAGAGCTTTCCTGAAAATAATTTAGCGTTTCATTCGTAGTCTATGCTTTCCCGAATGAGGACACTTGAGAATAGCATATTATGCGCCAGTCACTCTACACACTCGACAAGCTTCTCTTTGGTTACATTTTTACTCTGATGTCTTAGATGACATGCTTTTTTGTGTATTAGTTGAGCTATTCGACTGAGATAATGGTCTGGCTGGTTATGCTCGTGCCCATTAACGTTCAGGACGAATTAAGTAGTTTGCCACTCTAAATATATCGTATTTATTTCTCGAATCGGAAAGGTCATGGCAGCTTTTTCAACCTCCGGCATCTATAGCACTGACATGACGTCAGTTTATCTGTGAAATAAAGAGATTGCAGTGCGTTGTTGCTTTGTGAATCAGAGACGTGGCCCCTACACGCAAAAGACATACGGAAGTTGCCGGTGTTCAACCATCGGTGTCTCCAAACCATTGACCAGGTCTAGTGGGAACATCGTATTGGTGATGCTGAGATACACCAGATGGTCCCGGTGGGAACATCGTATTGGTGATGCTGAGACACACCAGATGGTCTGAGGAAGAAGGAACTCCCCTGTGACAGATGAATTACTCACGCTTCATAGGCTGCGCTGGTTGGCACGTGTACTCCTCATGCCATTATACTGTCTGCCTCACAGATCTCGTTTCCTCCAGCCCTGTGCGACCGAGACAGTGTACGACCTGGCAAGGAAGTACAAAAACACTAACCAGTAAGTTTAGTCGGGTGCGCAACTGCCGCCTCCCCGGATGGGGACTCAAGATTCAAATCGCCAGTGTTTAACAAAATTGGTAGAAAGGGTCTGATTGCGCAGTCAGTGGCACTCGTTCAATAAAGCCGTCGCCTTCAATGTGTAGCCACCTAATTTCCGAACAAACTGAAACAAAGAACCGAAACACCGGAAACATACTAACGATCAGAGAAGTGTGCTACTTGGTATACTGTTCAACATATATTTAAAGTGTTTCAGCTCCTTAATGGAAGTAATCGTAAGTGTGCTGCTCGCAAACACCGAGGAGATTTGCTGGGTTTTCAGCAACCTTGTGAGGAGTTTCCTTCATGAAAACTGAACATGCCTTCGCCTCCAAGGCTTGCTTGTAGGTTCCACGTTCCCGTTTTCCGGTGACCGGAACCGTAGGAGCTTGAACCAATATACCTGTGGTACACGGTTTCTTGATTGATCGGTTGATATCGTATTTAAAAGCCGCTTAGTCTTGCAGTGATGCTGGTTATTTCAACAAATCCTATGCGACAATCCACTAGACTAAATAAAGCAAATTACCGTTCCTTCCAGGAACCGAAACACCGGAAACATGCCAAAATTTTTTGAATGATATATATATATCTGTGGTCAGATTTGGCTCTTCTCAAGAATGACAGAACAAAAAGACAGAAGACAAAATTAGAGAATTTTGGCACAAATCATCCCCGCTAAATTCCTCAATCTTTCGGTTAGTGGTGAAGGACAGTGCCATCCAATCACAAGTGACTGATCATCAGGACTTAAACAAAACTTAACAGCTTCGTTCTTAAGTCAAACTGGTCACCTCAAGTGACCCTGTTTTACAAGTGACTGATCATCAGGACTTAAACAAAACTTAACAGCTTCGTTTTTCAGTCAAACTGGTCACCTCAAGTGACCCAGTGTTGTCGGCATCTTCAGTGACAACTACTCAGATAGGACCCGTGCATACTGAGGTTTATGCTTTTGTTTTGAGAAAATCTCCGGTATGCAAAGAAGATCAAAGATGAGAGACCAAGCCGAAGAGACCCAAACAAAAAGTAAATAGGTTTGCGAAAAAAGTAAGAAGCGTGATTTCGGACGGTCGACTCAGCTTTGAAATTTTTACTATCAAAAAGTTGAATTATGATAATAATTGCTTGCTTACAAAGCAAGTCTCTTACCTGATCACGCCTTGGTCGATAGGATGGCACCATCGAGTACCACAAGGCCTTTAGTGTATTCTACTTACAAACGTGGTCATGGTTGCTGATTTTTCCCGGCAACAGTAAATACCACAAATTTATCTGAATAACTTTACTCACAATCCCTTGCGCGCACGGTCTGAATTGGTCGCAAGTGAACTGGTCGCACCGTATTACACTAAAACCCTGCCATCTTCGAAACGAAAAGAATCCCTGACGAATTTGTCCCTTTCTAGACGAAACAGTCATAACTGCGGTCTCTGCAAGTCCTACGTGGGTTATTCAAGTCACGTGTCTTTGTTACTTCATCGGCATACCACAATAAGCCAAAAGTGCATCATTGAAGGAATACTTGTTTCTGTATCTGACATTCGAATTAGCACATCGAATATTAGTTCCACCCAAAAGTTATCGAACAGTCGCCAAGTGTTTCAACTGTGCCTGCACTATTATTGTTTGAACCGACGTCATCCAAATCTGACTACCAGGAAAAAATAGTTTAAGTCAGTTCCACCCTTATACCCTGACACTTAACTAATTCGAAACAGTTGTTTACAACTGGATCCCCAGAGAAAGCTACCGCTTGCCGACTGGTAGCATTCAAAATGCTAAGATCCGACCTTTGGATGTCGAAGGTTTACCGCATAACCTAATTACTCCCCAATACCGGAATTCGGTTGTCGGTTTATGGATTGAAACACTCCAGGTTAAACATCACTCGTGTTTCCAACTCGTTTCCATCGTCGTCTCCAAAAGATGGAACCAGAAAAGTTTACTTGTGTCTGGTATCATATCGTAAGACATGCAGTCAGATATCTAATGAGCACGTGATCACGATACTTTCTACTGAAAAACCTTAATTCAGTAGAGTGCCATGAAATTTGAACTTCTTCATGAGTGTATCAGTCCTGACGTGAATCGGGATCAAAATAATGGTGATCTATGCTACGAGCGTTCACTGTTTTCCGATAGGGATACTAAACACGTGTGAACGCATTACCACAATTGATATTAAAATGGTTGTCTGGATGAATCTGTTCTAACGTTCCAGTAACCGCTCATGAGTTTGGCAGTGAGCGTTTTCAACCACTGGGTGTAATTTTCAAACACCGTCATATCATTGGTGGTTCGGCTGTCATTCAATATCGTACGAAAACTGTTCCAGTTAGCTGAGCAACTGATATGTATACGGAAACAGTGTAAGCAAACTACAGACGTGTGAAGCTACTCATAGGGTTGCTGAAAACTGTTAGTTCATGTATGAGCAATCCCCGAGTTTTCATCAACCTTATGTTCTATTTGAACTCAGATTGCACGAGACTCGACAAATACACTCATTTGCCAACCAATTAGGCACTGAATTTTTAGCGTAACCTCTCCTTTTTGATGTTTCCATTCAGTTTCTCAATTGGAATCTGTATTGGTCCATCATATGACAACTCAAAACAAGAGACAGTTTCTCTGCGAAGACTGAAGATAGCTGAAGACTGCCCCAAATCAGATATTCCGCTGGAATTCACCTGACCATTCTTTCAGCACCAACTGTGATGAAAAAAGACCTTACTTCGTAAAATGGACATTATGGCTAACTGGTCTAATTAGCAGTCAACCCTCAAGGCCCCAAGGAACCTAGCGATAAGAGTTGATGCAGAAAGTCCAAATAAAATGAGATATGTGCCATCTCACTCTTGAAGTTGCTTCATATAGGAGACTCCAATGCAACATCTTTCATTTTGCGTTGAAAATCTTCAAGCCTATTTTTAGTACGTGGGTAGAAGGACTTGGCAAGCTTTCTGTGTATCTGATCTTGCCTTGTCAAGTTACTTATAGAATGAAACAATAAGGTTGACTCAGCATATATTGGGCTTCCCTTAACGTAGTCTACGTTCCTTAAATGAAAATTGTAGTTATGTATTCAACGATGACCAGTAAGAGTCCTGGACACCTTCCCGAACATCCAACCCACCTGCTAGTGCTCAGCAGTTGCATTTTTTGACTTTGTAGATTGCTAGAAAAACTTTAAACTCAGATTTGTAAACTGAATGCAACTAAGAGTTTAGGATGATGGTTATGGAAGCGCAAATCAAACTGGGAGTACAAAAGCGAGCAATGTTCATTTGCTGCTGCAAAGCAACCATCTCTTTGAAGTGGTTCGCGGATGCCGTTTAACAAGCTGTCAGGCCGTAAGGACGTACTCCCACAACTCACAGTTCCATCTCTAGTTAACGTATACTAGGCGATTTATAATCTATGATCCCTTTTTTGATAGGTATCAGTCGATGATACTTTATCCAGTGTGGCAGCCCGGTTTGACATGACCCCTTCAGAACTATGTCAACTCAACCGATTGGTCTGTCGAAGTCTGTTTGCTGGACAGACCATCAAGGTCCCAAAGGCCATATCGGATTTGACCGCACAAGAGCCAGATGTAAGCGGGGAAACCGGACTGACTGATCCACAAAATATCGGTGAGCTTATTTAACGCCTTAGATAGTGGTTCTCATCTTTTTCAGTTTTGAGTTAATTCAGTCCAGAACAATATGCCCCCAAAAAGTACACAGAAAGAAGGAACGAATTAGGCCTATGGTTTCTCTCCGCGGAGAGTTGTATGATTTCAGGGCAAGGTGAAAGTCTATCACACGGATTTATCTAACTTTCGCTACATTGGTTTTGCTAAACGTTTCCCTTTACAACAAATTCAACCTCTTAGATACGTCGGTAAGAGTTTCACACTGTAACTCGGTAGATCTTTGCATGTGCTAATCTGTACTCTGCCGCAGTTTGAAGACTGTTGTACAAACTGATTAAACAGGGTCCTTACAGATTCGAAGACTAGTATTCAGCTACCAGGTTCCCTAAATTTGTCTCAAAGAACCAGATAAGCTTGTCCCCTCTGGCACGGTCATACATGTTGTAAAGCTCGTAGAAATAAGAAAAAACTTATTGCTAGTTTTAGATTTTGTCCTTACTGAGAATGGTCTTCATTCAGGGGGTGGAAATCCAATCTTTATTCAGTTGCAATCGCAACCTCAGTCCAACGTACACATTGTGGATTCATTTTGTTTTCACATTTGGTGAGTGTTAACATGGTGATTCTGCTGCTTTCAACGTCGAACACCTTCAGATGGTGGTTCAAAGCCTAAGAAAGCATTTATAAACCGAGTGTTAGCTTTTGTCACTACGCTTTCTGGACTGTAAAAGGACGTAATTTCTAGTGTTTATTCAAAAATAATCACAAAAGTTGAATGGGAGATCCTTTCTCAGACTGTCTTCTGGGTGGAGTTTTTTCGCGCTGGATGCCATCGCATCGGGAAGATGTTGACGGCAGAAAATGCGCCTTGAGTAGACTTATGAAAGTTTACTTGAACAAGTTCGGGATTAATGATAACGGTGAGAGAATACAAACTTCTGTCGTCCAGCACTTTTCTTTCGCGTGATGTATGTCATATCCTCAGAGGGGCCTTCAACACATTCACATGGTGCTTCTTGCTGGAATGCCCTTTCCGAGTGAACGAAATCTTGTTCTCTGAAGAGTTAAAGAAAAGTCCTATGCAAAAAGGCGATGAGAGTCGTTTCAGCGCTACACAGACACGAGGCTGCTTCAAGGGATAAAAAGACTACTCAAAAGTCGGTGACGTTTGCCGAGAAGTGTCATGGTCCAGAGGATGTTGATGGAAACAGAGCTACTGTAGATAAAGCGTGAAGTATTCATGTATATTCTCTTTTGGTGATCTGAACAGCCAGTGTAATCAGCCAGTATGATCAGTGCCACTAACTTTCTCAACGAATTTGATGCACATCGACATGGTCACTCTGGCAATATGTCTTGTAGAAACCAGGATCTTTTGTCCCGTATGTTCTCGTGTCAGGAGAGCTTTTTGTATTTGGTTGACACCACAGCCCCACAAAAGCCTGACTCCCAAGTAGTCCCGTGTTTCAGCAGCCGTCCAGTCAGATAAACCTGCACTAGCCACTCAGCTCGATTAAAAATCTTCCCACCCCCTTTGAGTGTAGGTAATATACTCTTCAATGACTCTCTAGTTACCTTCGAAGACGATAATAATAGGTTGCTACTGGCAAACTGAATCTCCTGCTTTTCCAATCAATACTGATCTTCAGCATCTCGTCCCTTTTTCAGTTAACCTAGTTCTCTCCGCATGCTTGTTTATCTACTGACAGAATCGTGGTTTGATGAAGTGTCGCTCATCCACAAATAACCACCTTGCTCACAGTAGAACTCACTTATTCTCTTGTAACTTTTTTTCAGATAATCGATCATATGAAGACGAAGGAAACTGCCCACCCAAGATTGATGATGTTCTGACAGACTCGCATGGGAAGGAAGATACGGAAATCTTCCGCCCCTACCTGTCTGAATCCCCGGAGAGTGAGAGCTATTCGTCGTCACTAGACGATGAAGTGAGTTATAATCCATTCGTCGTCACTAGACGATGAAGTGAGTTGTAGTCGTTTTCCATGCAGAATATCTTTTTATGTAGCTTCACGACATTGAATTTTACTAATTCAACACAACACGCAACCGCGTCGGATTGGGTCTCACAATTGTCGCGCATTTCGGAGAAAGTCCGTGGCGTGACAAAATTTGAGAGGGCAGACTACCGTCAGAAGCAAACACTCTAATACAGCAGTCATTTTGTTCACTATCTATAGTGTCTTGGTGGAACAGACTACAAGAAATATATGTAAACTTGTGATTTGATAATTTGGAAATTCGTTGCAAACTGGAAAGAAGTCACTGTTGTAGACCACAGTCCCTTAGTGCCTTCTTATTACTGTGAACCCCGGTCTGGATAGCCGCTTGATCGCATGTACCCCAGTCCGGATAGCCGCTTGATCGCATGTTGCGCTTGGTCAAACCAGAAAAGTCAATGAACGTGCGAACCAGCTGCTATATTAATCAATGTCTCGTACAATCGGGTCAAAAAAGCGATGCTTAGATTACCACTCATCTGTCAAGGGCGAGTGAAGAACAACCAATGAAATCTGTCTCTCAACGAAAAACGATTATTCCATTGGCCGTTACGTAGTTCCGTTACGTTCGGAGCTGGTTCTCCTAATAGATTCACATGGTGTGGTCAAGGTTATCACAACAACGGCCTGTTGCTCTCAACACAAGCTTTATTCTTTGTACTTGAGCAGAAGTGCAATCCACACAAGACCCTTCTCATCACTAGGCTCCAAAATTTTTGTCTGGTGCTTCAGTTCAGTCTATCAATATTATACTTTCTCCAACTAATTTATCCACCGCTAAATGGGAAAGGCCATTATCAAAGTTTGTAGAGTTTTCGATCTGAGTAGGTTTATCCGTCAGCCAGACTGTTCAGGGTCGCAACACAGATCCCAGTGAGCGCTTTCGATTTTATCAAATTAAATGCGCTAGAAGCAACTTGAAGTTAAAGGTAGAACGAGGCACAGCTAGTGACGATTTGGTATTCTTCGTTCGGATGCTGGAAAGTTGAAAATTTTCCTTTACTTCAAACACTATGACGTTCGAAACTTCCCAGCCTAATTCGCCAACCGAATTGCAAACTGTAATACACATGGGTTGTAACCATTTCGTCACCTAATTTAACCCCCATCAAACGATCAGTCTGGTCTCAATAGAGCGACTAAAGTTTTCAGAACATTTCTTGTGACAGACTGTCTGAAACATCGGGTTTATTTGAACAATGCAGTTAGGAGGTCGAATTAGATGGGTGAAATTGAAAACAAATAATTGTTCAGCTGAAGCACCCAACCTAGCTGCTATGGCACCCGAAAGAAGCGCGAGAACTGAGATATTGTAAGTTTCCTCATGTCTAGACAGGAGCATTGCCCATGGGGCAGTTTTTGTGGAGCTCTCAGTGCACTCTCAAGGCCCAGAAGAACAAATTATACTGCAGTGATCTAGTACTTGATTTGTAGAACGAACGTTTTCAGAAGAATCCATCGACCTGGAGAACCCCAAAACCCTTGAATTCAACCAATAACTCAAGCGAAGGGTGGTTATATGTATGCCGTTGCTTTCAAACTTGACAGGGTCTGAAGGTGCGGTGCACAAGACCCCTATTGGGCCAGAAAAATGTTTTCTAATATCCGGCAGTGTCTTAACATCCTCTCCTAATATGGCACACACTGAGTGATGTATTGAGTCTGGATACTTCTTCTGTGATGGTCACATACAGTACGAACACAATTCCGGAAATGAGTACTCATCTCACATTATTTTAGTTGGTTGAAGTTGTCTTTATCACCTAGCCAACTAAGCAATGACTGAAAGCTTCCCCTTCATCGATGGACGGTTCTTTTCTGTCTTGTCTGAGTTGGCTAGCAGCCTGTGTCCACTAGCTACCCAGTCCACGTCGCAGGAACGCCATAAAGTCATTTTCTGATTAGTCATACTCTGATGCAGATCATTCATCCCGGAGGATGCATAGTTGACGATTTCTGTCTACTTATGGTGTTGATCGGATTAAGTTGTCTGAACTAACTGCCTTGCAACTGTGAGGCTCCATCCCAGTGACATCTAGAGATGCTTAGCATTCAGGCATAAAGATGCATGCAGATCAAGAACTGAACAGCAGAATTTTGGTGTTCCCACTGCTGGCCTTTTCACACCCGTGGCACTGAGCGTAGCTGTGTGTAGATTCGCATTCGATCGAAGGTACGTTGACACAAGTCAGTATGAGTTCACATTAATCAGACCTTTTCCAGTCTGTGGGCTTATAGTTTGTCTTTGTTGTTGACTGACGCCCAATCGAGCTATATACTAACAAGTCTGATCGATATTTCGTCATCTCCCTTGCCAAACTTCAGCTCTTTGTATAGAAACTAAGCCCATATCCTGGAAATCTGGAAGTTTACCGTATGTTGCTTGGTAACACACTGTGTTTAGTCCATAGCATGTGACTGAGTTCTAATCAAGTCGGGTCATCATAGGCTCCGTTTCTGAAAGTCGTTAACATTCCCACTGCTGGCCTTTTCACACCCGTGGCACTGAGCGTAGCTGTGTGTAGATTCGCATTCGATCGAAGGTACGTTGACACAAGTCAGTATGAGTTCACATTAATCAGACCTTTTCCAGTCTGTGGGCTTATAGTTTGTCTTTGTTGTTGACTGACGCCCAATCGAGCTATATACTAACAAGTCTGATCGATATTTCGTCATCTCCCTTGCCAAACTTCAGCTCTTTGTATAGAAACTAAGCCCATATCCTGGAAATCTGGAAGTTTACCGTATGTTGCTTGGTAACACACTGTGTTTAGTCCATAGCATGTGACTGAGTTCTAATCAAGTCGGGTCATCATAGGCTCCGTTTCTGAAAAAAAGTCGTTAACAAGCTAGTCTGGACAGTGGGGTTTTGGCGACACAATCAGAGATGTCAAGCACCATAGCAACGGATTTTAGTCACAGTATTGAACATCTGTGCACTTGTGAGTTTTTCCCATCCAATCTTTCAAGTTTTCAACTCTGACGTTATAGCTTTAGACCTCATACTGTTTAAATTGCAATTCGCGATCCGCGAGTTGGTGCCTCCCAGTGTTCACCCGAAGAGTTGGGTGTTACGCATTCTATTAAAATTTGATTTTTACGCCACAAATTGCGCAGCGCATATAAACGATAATTTGCTAACACGGGCATAGCAAACAGTTTAAAACGGATTAATGAAACAAACTGTGTACTTCAAGGTGAAGAACCATGGATAAACGCTTTGTTTGTGCCACTGACCGGTTGCCCTCATTCTGGCCTTCCACTGAATGACCTGGTTTCAATGATCACGAATAAAAATCCAACTTTTAAAGTTCCTTCCGTTCAACGGCACTTCTCTAACCGACTGGTTCCCATTTGTCTGTAACATTTTTAAGGTATATGAAATTTGGGGGAAAGCCGAAGCACACGTGACACGTGACCCCAAAGTCAATTCAGTTAAAAACAACAGTGTTTTTGCTTTCGACCATATTGTATCGATCGGTTCGAAGTGACATCCGACGACATTGATCAATCGACCGTTGTGCGCAGTGTTACCACTGTCAGTTTACAACAAAACTAGCAAAGCAGATCGATTCATACTGCGGCCTGTACTCCGTTGATGTTACAGTATGACTGAAGGACGAGACAGTAACTTATTTGATGTAGTGTGAGTAGTAAGGTGCAGATAGGAATGTGAAATTTCCATAAAAACAACCTAAGCTATCAGTAATCAGACAGTGCCCAATATTACCAGAATATGTTGGAGTGGTCCCTTAGGATGACGCAACGGCAAAATAAGCACTCATTCCTAGTAGCTATTGGGTTCCACCAGTTCTCAGCCGTCAGCACACGAGGTGTGAAAATTCCGGAAGATGAAAATCTTCTGTTTATTAATAATAGAACTTTTTTGTTAGAGGAGAGGCCGCTACATGAGGATTCCAGTGTGGAGTTGATCGAATTTCATGTTCTCTTCTCCAGATGAGACCACATTCGTAGTCGCTTGTTCAATCATCCGACGTTACGTGTCTGAAAAATTGTAAGGTTCTCAGGGCAGTTAACATCACACACCGTCACATCCATTGTCCCTGTGACTGTCCGAGTAAGACGTAACTCTCTGAAGCCGCACGATTGATCACCTCGTTGATACCGGATGCGGAGGTTTGATTACACAAGTGTTACAACTGTCTGACAAGCGGAATCAGTTTGCAACGTTTCTGGCAGTAGATAAGGAAAAGATTATGGAATGAACCAGTATTGCGGTAGGTGAACGAGTATGATGCGATTCACGTCCAACTTTCGACGAAATCGAAAGTAACACCGCGATTAAAACAAATCAGGCAGTCATACCGTGCCTGAAGGAGCATGTGAAAGCATACATCCTGGACTGGCCTATTAATCACAATACCTGGGAGTATAAGCGGAAGTGAATCGTTTCGGCCTTGATATAAACCGGTACGGATTGGTCGACTGCAGTAAAGCGCGATAGGAACAACATCCCGCATAAAGTACAATACTCTGAGTTCAATGAACTAACCATTTCACCAGTGTTCCTGTTCTGGCGTAATTATTCCGGCGAGTCCACATCAAAGGGAAGCACTGGACTCGAGTTTCACTCTTATTAGAGCTCATCAGCAGTGCATAGCCAATGGCCGTGCCGGGATTTGAACCCCGGACATTTGACATGCGAGGCGAGCGTGCAACCACTAATCCATTAACGCACGTTGAGCGCATCTGAATTATCACGTCTGAATAGGCGAACGTGTTCACACTTGAGCGATGTGATTGGTGTGCCCGACTCATCGAACAACGACCCAGTAACTGTCCTGGTTGTGACGATCGAT